TGCAGCAGACTTTATATATACACAGAGAATATGAAACAATACCTCCTCCCACCCCACTGTCCTGCTGGTAATAGCTTATCTAAAGTGATCATCAGGTGGGCCATTTCCAGCACAAATCCAGGTTTTCTCACCCTCCACCCCCCCACACAAATTCACTCTCCTGCTGGTGCTAGCCCATCCAAAGTGACAACTCTTTACATAATCAAGTCGGGCTATTTCCTGCATAAATCCAGGTTTTCTCACATCCCCCCCACCCCCATACACACACAAACTCACTCTCCTGCTGGTAATAGCTCATCTAAACTGACCACTCTCCAAGTTTAAATCCAAGTTAAACCAGAACATCTGGGGGGGGGGGGGGGTAGGAAAAAACAAGAGGAAACAGGCTACCTTGCATAATGACTTAGCCACTCCCAGTCTCTATTTAAGCCTAAATTAATAGTATCCAATTTGCAAATGAATTCCAATTCAGCAGTTTCTCGCTGGAGTCTGGATTTGAAGTTTTTTTGTTTTAAGATAGCGACCTTCATGTCTGTGATTGCGTGACCAGAGAGATTGAAGTGTTCTCCGACTGGTTTATGAATGTTATAATTCTTGACATCTGATTTGTGTCCATGCTATTACCAGCAGGACAGTGGGGTGGGAGGAGGTATTGTTTCATATTCTCTGTGTATATATAAAGTCTGCTGCAGTTTCCACGGTATGCATCCGATGAAGTGAGCTGTAGCTCACGAAAGCTCATGCTCAAATAAATTGGTTAGTCTCTAAGGTGCCACAAGTACTCCTTTTCTTTTTGCGAATACAGACTAACACGGCTGTTACTCTGAAACCTATAAATTAGTTGTTACCACTCAAGAAACAGATCTTGGAGTCATTGTGGATAGTTCTCTGAAAACATCAACTCAACATGCAGTGACAGTCAAAAAAGCAAACTGAAAGTTTGGAATCATTAAGAAAGGGATAGATAATAATACAGCAAATATCATATTGCCTCTATATAAATCTACGGTAAGCCCACATCTTGATTACTTTGTGCAGATGTGGTCGCCCTATCTCAAAAAAGATATACTGGAATTGGAAAAGGGAAACAAAAATGATTAGGGGTATGGAATGGATACCATATAAGGAGAGATTAATAAGACTGGGACTTTTCAGCTTGGAAAAGAAATGACTAAGGGGAGAATATGATTGAGATCTATAAAATCATGACTGGTGTGGAGAAAGTAAATACAGAAATGTTATTTACTAGCTCTCAAATCATCAGAGCTAGGGGTCACCAAATTAAATTAATAGGCAGCATGTTTAAAAAAAAACAAAAGGAAGCATTTTTTCATACAACGCAGTGTCAACCTGTGGAACTCCTTACCAGAGGATGTTGTGAAGGCCAAGACTATAACAGGGTTCAAAAAAGAACTAGATAAATTCATGGAGGATATGTCCATCAATGACTATTAGCCAAGATGGGCAGGGATGATGTCCCTAGCCTCTGTTTGCCAGAAACTGGGAATGGGACACAGGGGATGGATCACTTTACGATTACCTGTTCTGTTCATTCCCTCTGGGGCACCTGGCATTGGCCACTGTCAGAAGATAGGATCCTGGGCTACATGGACCTTTAGTCTGACTCAGTATGGCCGTTCTTATGTTCTTTTAAAAATTAATTTAGTTTAATTTAAAAGTTATTTTAATTATCTTAGGAAATTACAAATCAGAAACATCACAACGTACTGTGAAATAGCAAGAGGAATATGAGAACAAACAGCAATATTTAATATTTGCTATGGTCTCAATAAATGTCAGTTATTCAGAGTGCTTCAGTATGAACACCTTTCTACAACAGATACTTTCCTTTATTTGCTGTTGAGGATCGCATGTCAAAAGGAAAAGCTGCCAGAATGTTAAATGTAGGACTTGAAAGTTTATTATCCAGATTATAGGCAACACCTGTAATTTGTGCTGATAGCCCAGTTGTGTCTGCAATAAAGTAAGCTAGATCAAAGCTTCATTGACCCTAAATACTACAGGAATCAGGGTATACTTTTGTCTCTAGCTTTGGAACTAGATTTAATTTTATTTAAAAACTTTTCAGCACTTACATGCACTGACATGCATCTTATTTACAGACTTTTCACTCCTGGTAAAAGAGTCAACCTAAATGAGTTCAGTGATCTCAATATCTGTTATTTGAAATATTCCATCATAAAAGTGATCAGAACAATTCAGCAAACCCACTAGTTTTATTTGCTTAAAACAGCACACTAAAGAATAATCTTTTCTGGCAGTGAAAAGTGTACTCTGCAAATTAAAATGAACTGAATCCATAAGTAATGCAAGGCATCTCCTCTAGAATACTGCAGATATAAACAGGCTTAATGCTACAAGGGTCCTGAGAGGTATAGCTCTCTTAGTTCCCTAACTTTAAGCTCTCTCAGTTTACAGTCCAAAGAACTTTTTATTTTAAATATAAAAAGCTCATTTGTATTATATATACACCATGTATTTAATGCATAAAAGTGCTCTGCCACATGTTACCCGGACTTTAATTTGGTGCTAAGTAGTTTAAAGTTAACTTTCTGTCCACAGATATTTTTTAATGATGATCTCTATCCTTTTATCATTATCAAATCCTGAATCAGTAACATTTTGACACTTCAAAGAAACAAGAAGGTAAAATTTTCAAAAGCGCATAAATGACTCAGGAGCCTAGGTTCTGTTTTTAAAAGTGACGTATGTCACTCAGGTGACAAACTACATGTTTTAAAATGGGACTTATGACATGTCTTCACTACAATTTGTGTGGGCAAAACTTATGTCGCTCAGGGATGTGAAAAAACCACCCTCCTGAACAACATAAGTTTCGCTGGCGTAAGTTGTAGTGTACACATTGCTATGTCAGCAGGAGAGCTCATGGAAGTGGTTTTATTATGTTGATGGAAGAGCTCTCTCCCATTGGCATAAAGCAGCTACACGACTGATTTTACAGTGGCGCAACTGCAATGGTACAGCTGTGCCGCTGTAAGCTTGCTAAGGTGTCTAAGGCCATGTCTACATAAGTCGCTGTGTCGTAGGTATATTATATATTTGACTATGTCCCAGTTTTGCACATCCCATTCAGACAAAATTCAGTCTTTGTCTAGTAGTAGCTTTTTTGCTTCTCTCAAACACACCTTTCCACTTTCTTCCATGCCACATTTTATACAAGGAACATCCATGCCTGAACTGATCTGCAAAGCCACGACCCTTTCCTAGAAGGCTTTTCAAGACTTACTTCTGTGGTGACCCTCGCAAGAAATCAGCTATTTAACAAATAGAGTAAGGGGTAGTTTGAGAAAGCTAGTAATCACATTACTACCAAGCCAAAAATATAGAGCAAATATGTATATTTATATAAAAAGTTGTTAATATTACATTGTGGCACTCTTGACCACTTTTTGTACGCTGCTCTTCATCTTACATTGTAAACTCTTTGGAGCAGGAACCACATCTCCCTCTGTACAGCACCTACCACAATGGAACCCTCATAGGCCACTACCATAATATGAATATCACACAGCAACAACAGACATTAAAATGTCACTATCTGAAGTCAGATATCTTTGAAGTCAGGTTCTGGCAGGATTAAAAATGGGAGTTTTATATTATTAGGAAGAAGAGATTGCCAATACTTATTCTAACACTGTAAAGGCAAGATATATCAGCTATTAAAGTTGTGAGAATTGTGTGCCTTATAAATGCTTTATTAGGTCACTATAAGAGGTGTTTTACATTTATTACTTTTAATTTCTCTCTCCAAAACAGTCCTGAACAGTTGGGCTGCTAGTAAGTAAGGTTCCAGGCAAAGAGATACAACAGAAAGTCCACATACAACTTCTTAAACACTGTCTAAAAACAAAAAAAATCCTAAAGCAGATTTTCTGAGACACGTAAGGCATATATAAAATACATGATGGTGTGTTATAAATGTTTTACAGGTTTTTCTTGGAGATAATCTGCACAATTTGCTTGTTTACTGACTCATCCCAAAATTATTATGACAATTATTTTATACCACATCAAGTGTTCAATTTATCTACATAGAAATAGATTTGGTGGTGATACGAGAGAGAGAAATAGCATTTATTACGCACCTTCTACCATTTTATTTGCACTCTGCCCATTAATCCAGTTCCATCAAAATTTCTAACATTTGAAACCTATGAACAACTTCAAACAACCACTTCTTTGTTTTAAAACAAACATGTAAATTTTTCCTATTTCCCCAAAATACAGAATTCCCCACCAAAAATAGCCTTTGGGCCCCAGCATGAATGATAACTAGTTCTGCTCAGTGACAGGTAATTTGTGACCATGAAAAACTAGAAACATGTGCCTTACACCAGTGAAAATGGAAGATTCCTGTGACACTTATCTATAGGTAAATTACTGTGTGTCATTTTTCTGGTGTGTAATATATTAGTTTCCTTCTTCATCTGAGCTCTGTATAATTGGACTGATAGTAAAGTTGAGATTTAGGCACAGATAGCGAAAATTGCACCAATATTTTTTTTTAAAAAAATCGTTTAAATATGAGAGAGAGAATACAGTTTTTGGCCCCTGAAAATAATGCAACATTTCCAAATCCATGCCACTAAAACCTTTACATCAGACCACAAAATCATGCATTCTTTCCTTCTTGCAAAAAATATCTTATACACACATACAGAATGATACTTGCATAACTCCACCAACCCTACCTATAGGCACTGAATAAAATTAAGACATGAGTAAAATCCTACCCCATTTTAATGGCTGAATTATGGGCACTTACTCTGGCAACTATCTTTTTACCAGATCTATATTAATGCCCCCTAAAAATAGTTATTTATAAATTAACATTTTCTGGACCTGGGCTTTATTGATAAAGATTAAAGGGAACTAAATAAACTCTCAAAGGTAGGGACTATCTCTATCATGGCCTCAATGTGCTATAGTAATAATATATTAATAATGGCTGAACTCACGGTGATGATTCCAGAATGATGCTATTAGCTTGGGTGGAGGATGGAGATCTGTGATTTGCAAAAACTTCACTTGGTGAGGTGTGAACTACATGGTCCACTAAATGTCCAACTGAAGATGGTCGTAAACGGGCTCCCTCTTGAGTAAATGCAGAATTGCGACTAAATAGGAAAAGAATAATTAAGCAGTTAGAAAATTCTCCAAGATTGATGCTTTTAATCTGCATTGTCCTATAACTATAAATGTATAATTTTAAAAAAATTATTTACTTTCCTTCTAAATGTAAGCATATATACATATAGATAATTTTACTGAAGAATTTTAAACAGTGAATTGTAATTCCATTAATTCATTTTCTCTCATTCAATTCATTTTTTTTTCAGTTCCATTATTTCAAAATCTTTTTATTATTTCAACAAATACTTAAATAATAACCCAATCAGAGATATTATGAAGAATGGCTTATTTATCAGTTCATAAAATGGGTAAAAAACCCTCTCTTGCCATAAATACTGAAGGTCATAAAACATGCCGGGAATACTTTAAAGAAAGGAGTTCTGCTTATAATAGCATGATCCAGTGGACAGACTGGCAGTCAAGAGGACCTGAGGTGAAATCCTGGCTCTATTGAAGTCAATGGCAGAACTCTAATTAACTTAAACAGGGCCAGGATTTCAGCCCTGGATTCTATTCCTAACACAGTCACCAACCTTACTGTGTGACCCCATGACAGTCACACTTCAACTTCCTGCCTCAGTCGTCCCATCTGAAAAATGGGTCTTTTGATACTTACCTTCATTTTTGAATGCCTTAAGATCTATGCCTTAAGATCTATGGGCTAAAAGTGATTTATAGAATCTAAGCATTATTAATAAACCAATATTTTAAATGAAAAATGTAAAATGTTTCAGATATTTGCATAACACTCTTTGAAATAACTGTTCTAAAGACAAGAGATTCTCAATGAGAAATCACTGTTTATGCAATACAGAACTGGATAGCTCTCATTCGGCACACTTAAAGAACTGCTTTCCTATTTTGTAAAGAAAATCAAGAATGCTTTTCATTCATCGTAAACAGAAAACAAGAAAGCTTCATGATGTATGAAAAATAAATTCTGCAGGGAATAAAAGAAATGCAGAAAAATAGGGAAATTAACCCACTGGCATTTTTTATAGCCTAGACCTGGAACACGTTTACAAGAGGTACTGTATTACTGAACCAAAAAGTTAAATTCTAAAATGATTCCTGAATAAAATAATTATACAGCTGAAGGTTTTATTAATGTCATCTCTTCAAGCCATAATTATTATCTCACATGCTCTGTTCGCGCTCTCAGATATATTCAGTATACAGCAATTATAATCCAGCTGTTAGATGTCATGCAAGAAAAAGTCTGGGGAATCTCCTCAAACTATTATGGTATTGAGTGCCAAATGTTACACTTTTTTATAGGTTGGATGCTTTTGAGATGCATCTGGAATTATTATATACCAAAGAATGTCAGCAAAAATAAAATTTAGAACATTGAATTCCACACCAAGGGATGTTAAGAGCTAGTTTGTAAAAACTCCCTTGTGAAACAAACAACTTTATTTTGGTAATGAACAGGGATAACTGACAAATAAGAGGTGAACAGTCAATGATGACTGCAGAAAGGATACTCCACTCTACTTACTGATTTGGGGTTCCAGGTGGAGATCGTGATGGTAGGCTCTGTGTTTCTAACCTGTCATCAGACAATGAATTCCTACTCACTACCTCCCAGTCCATCCCACTCATCAATTTCCGTGCCAAGGGTTTACTTGGGGATCTAGAAGAATGAAGTAAATAACTGATTTGAAATTGTATCAGATAATTGCAAAATTACACAAATTACACAACAAAATTTTGGAAGTTCTCTCATAAAAATCCAAAGACCATGGGAGGTAGAAAGATAAAGTAAGACAGTGGCAGACTTAGAGTTAGTGGGGCCTTGTATGCAGCTTCATTTCCGGGGCCCCTGCCAGGGACCCAGCCAATAAAAAGGAAGCCAGACCCATGTCCACCCCAGGCGTGGGTCCAGAGCTGGGTGTGGGCCACGGGGCGTCAGTCGGGACCATAGGTGCGGGAACTAGGGGTGCGGGCATGAATCCGACAGAATTGCTGGACCCCTGGGCAAGGTGGGGGGAGCTGGCTCCGGGCCCCTGGAAGAGGCTGGACTAGGGGCTAGCCTCCCCGAGCCAGACCTTCACTGCTGCTCGGGCTGCACCGTCCGGAACTCTGGCAGCCATTTAAAGGGCCTGGGGCTCCAGCTGTTGCAAGTGCAGCAGCCAGGAGCCCTGGACCCTTTTAAATAGCCGGGCCCTGGGGCAGCTCCCCCTTCCCCCACCCCTCCGCCCCCATCAGCGGTGCTGGGGTCGGGGAGGGGAGGGAAGAGTGCTGCAGCACCCCCATGTTCTATGCAGGGCTCCGCTGTGCTCCTAACAATATGTTTTAACGTAGGTGGTGTGGGGCAGCAGCCAGGACCCCAGGCGTGGGGCAGCAGCGGAATCCGCAGAGCCCGCAGAGCGCGGGGCGGCAGCCGGGACCCGGGGCGGCAGCGGAGCCCGCAGAGCCCTGGGCGCGGGGCGGCAGCGGAGCCCGCAGAGCCCTGGGCGCGGGGCGGCAGCGGAGCCCGCAGAGCCCTGGGCGCGGGGCGGCAGCGGAGCCCGCAGAGCCCTGGGCGCGGGGCGGCAGCCGGGACCCTGGGAGGCAGCGGAGCCCGCAGAGCCCTGGGGGTGGGGTGGCAGCTGGGACCCCGGACGGCAGCGGAGCCCGCAGAGACCTGGGTGCGGGGCGGCAGCAGCGAAACCTGCAGAGCCCTGGGTGCGGGGTGGCAGTCGGGACCCCGGGTGGGGGGAGGCAGCAGAGCCTGCAGAGCCCTGGGCAGGGAGTGGCAGCCGGGACCCCGGGCGGGGGAGGCAGCAGAGCCTGCAGAGCCCTGGGTGGCAGCCAGGACCCTGGGCGGGGGGAGGCAGCAGAGCCTGCAGAGCCCTGGGTGGCAGCCAGGATCCTGGGCGGGGGGAGGCAGCAGAGCCTGCAGAGCCCTGGGTGGCAGCCGGGATCCTGGGCGGGGGGAGGCAGCAGCGAAACCTGCAGAGCCCGGGGCGGCAGCCCGGAACCTGGGCAGCAGCGGAGCCCCGCACAAAACGTGGGGATGCTGCAGGCCCCCCCCACACTCCTAGTTCCCACGCCTATGTTTTGGGGCCCCCTGTGGTTGGGGCCCTGTGCTATAGCATGGCATGTTTCGGGGTAAATCCACTCCTGAAGTAAGATAAGATTTCATGAGGAAAATATAAGCACTTTCAATATGGATTTATCATGCCTTATTTCCTGTTTTTACCACAGCAGGGAAAGGTAGATTCCCTTATGGTAATTATGACATTATTTAACATTTCTGTTATTTACATTAGTAAAACAATTTGGATGACATACTAACTGGTATTAATAGGATTTGCTAAGATGCTTTCTATAGAACTAAATAAGGTATTAAAATTCAGTCTACATGTAATTAACACCAACACACCTTGCTTTCAAGCTAGTACAGTAAAAGGTCTTCAAAAATGAGTTTGGCATAAAAGTTAACACTAAGAAAAAAATACTATTTTTGTCCAAAATAAAAATGAACTTAATTATGATGCTCTGAAAAAAGCTATAGAAAACTAATAGATGGAAATTACAAAAACAGAGAGAGATTTTACAAACTAAAAACAAAGAAGTTATATGAAATTTTGGATTAGAAGAATTTGATGCTTCATTGCAGCTAAGAATTTGAACATTTACCACACAGAGTTACAGGGACTCTTTCACATTCATTAGTGTGCTTAAACCATTCATTTTAAAAAGGAGACAGTGCATTCTAGTACTTAATGAAATCAATAATTCTTTTATCTTTTCAAAACGATATTGCTCTAAACCACCTAATTTGTAGATACTAAACTTTGAAAACCTTCCTTAACACTTTATATGCTGCAACAGACTAACAACTTTCTCTAAAAGAAGAAAGCTCAGGGTTTTTTAAATCTAAAAACAGTATCACTCAAGAAAAAAAACTCACCTTATTTACTGTACTCAGGTTCGGATCTCTTGGAATACTACTCTCGGCTACCATCATAGACAACTGAAGTGTTTATCAGCAAAGTTTAGTTTCAAATATTTTATTTTAATAACAGTTCTAACCTCAGAGTCCCACCCACTTATGCTTACTGCCTCCGTTTCCTGTTCTTTGGGGAAATTTCGAAGAAAAAGTTACCACACTGCAGCATGAGCTTTTCGATGCGGTGGCTTTTTGGTTTCTGACCTGAGTGCTAATTTTCAATACCTCTATGTCTAACTCTACACAATCTCTCCTAGATAACTTTTAGGTATAATCTGAAATATTTTAGCTATTGATTTAATTTTTCTTCTGCATCACTTTAATTACTGACATTATTCAAAATAACTTCTAATGATGGAAGGAGGTAAACCACCAAACCATTCTAAATGCTTGTATGGCCTTTGAAAGTTCAGTAGAATCCTGAATCTGGATACCTCAGTGGATGAGTTTTCATCTCCAATAAAAGGAATAGCAATTTGTAGGGAAGTGGAGTGGCCTCCCTTTGGACTTGAGAGAGAGGGACCACTACCCTTCCACTGGTGGGCGGAGCCAGACCCAATCCCTCCCACCCCCCCGCCCCCTCGCCCGAAGTACCAGGGCGGGACAGGAAGTATAAAGAAACGGCCCTGAATCTCAGTTGGGCAAGAGCTACGGAAGGAGACAGACCTCTCCAGTCTGCTGCTGACCCTGGGGAGGAGTTGCCGGGACTGCCATCTGAAGACTGCTCTGCCCCACCCAAGGGGGCGAGAGCATCCGACTGTTACTGCTTGTTTGCCTCTGCTAGGCGGTTACAGAGCTATAGACTTCTTACAGTTCAGCCCCGCCAGTGAGACATGAGCCTGAGTGCTGTTGCCTGATACAGCAAGGTGGAGTGGCCTCCCTCCCCCCTTGAGAGCGAGGGACCACCACACCGTTTAACACAGTTCCCTAACTTTAAGATTTAATCCCACTGTCACTAAACAGATCCATGGAGCTGGGAGGAGGACAGTGTAGCCAACAGCCACATCTGCCGTTGCAGGGGCTAGGACACAATGATCGGTAAAGGTGTCAATGGAGGACCAAGTGGCCGCTCTACAAATATCCTGCCACGGGATGCTCGCAAGGAAAGCGGATGTGGTTGCATGAGCCTGTGTGGAGTGGGCTGTGACCCATGGAGGGGACGGGAGAACACCAGAGTGCATAGCAGTCAGTAATGCAGCGGGAGACCCAGTGGGAAAGATGTTACGAGGAAAGAGCGTGGCCACGATGGCGATGAAGAGGCAAGAGGTGGCGCGGAAGGCTCGGGCGTATTGGAGGTAAAAGACCAGTCCTTGGCGTACATCAAGAGAGTGTAGCATGCACTCCTTGTTGGAGGCATGTAGCTTAAGGTAGAAGATGGGTAAGTGTACACTCTGGTTGAGGTGAAATGAGGAGGCTACTTCGGGAAGGAATTTGGGGTGAAGGCACAGGGAGACCTTGTCATGGTGAAAGGTGGGTCTGCCATCACAGCTGCCAGTTTACTGACGCGTTGTGTGGAGGAGTTGGCAACCAAGGTCACCACCTTCAGAGAGGTGAGAAATGGAGCAAATCAACAGGGATTCAAAGGGCGGCTTAGTGAGGGTGGAGAGAACAAGGTTGACATTCCAGGAGGGGGTCGGTTTTTCCTACCGAGGGGAAAATGTTGAGGAGACCATGGAGGAAGCAGGCAGTAGGTGGATGCATGAAAATGGAGAACCCATCCACAGGTGGGAGGAAGGCACTGAGTGCTGCTAGGTATATTTGAACAGAGGAGTGAGCGAGGTCTGAGCAACGAAGATGGAGAAGGTAAACCAGGACCACCAAAATAAAAACAGAGGTTGTGGTGCTGTGCTCAGGCACTGAAGCAGGGCCACTTTGCGAGGTCGCAAGCCCTGGTAAATGGGTGCCTACTGTGCATGAAGACGTCATGCACGGGGGCAGAACATGTGCAAGTTCCATCCAAATACCACGCCATGAGGTGAAAAGGGCTGGGATTGGGGTACCGGAGGCGGCTGTGGGCTTGAGTGAGGAAATCAGGGAGCAAGGGTAGTGGAACTGGAGAATTAGTGGAGAGATGAAGGTGGTCTGGAAACCAATACTAGCAGGGCCAAGCATGGGCCACAAGGTGAACAGTCCCTCAATCCTGGTGGATTTTGTGTAGGATCTGGGGAAGCAGGAGAATGGGCAGGAAGGCGTAATAGAGCTCACTGGTCAAGAGAATGAGAAAGGCATCTCCCCGCGAACCGGGACCAAGGGCTCCCCTGGAGCAGAAGAGGAGTTTGTGGTTGGTCAGTGTGGCGAACAGGTCCCATCGAGGAGTGCCCCTCATGGAAGATGGAGCAGAGAACGAGATTGTGGAGTTCTCATTTCTGTTTTGCATGGAATGAGTGACTGAGTGGGTCTGCAAGGAAGTTGTTCATCCCCAGAAGGTGTACCGCATGGAGGGTGATGTTGTGCCGGAGGCACCAGTTCTAAAGGAGGATGGCCTCCGCACAGAGGAACCAGGATCGGGCTCCACCCTGCTTGTTGACATGTCTGACAATGTGGCAGCACTCATATAACACTTGGACATGGCGGTGGCGGAGAAGTGGCAGAAGGCCTGGCAAGCTAAGCAAATAGCACATGGTTCGAGAATGTTGATATGCATCCTCACCTCACGGTGTGACCAGAGGCCCTGGGCCATGGCACCACAGGCTCCC